CATCTTGCATCGTGGTCACCACCTGTCGCATAACCGAGCGTTCGTGGCTTGAGCAACTTGAATGTGGCCACTTCAGCGATTACTTGGAAATCACTACACCACAACACACCGGATTTGTTCTTGTTCAGAGTCCGCATCTTCCTCGAACGTCGGAAAGCACGCTTTGTCTTCTTCTTCATGTAGATCCAGCTCTTCTTGTGTCGGTTGTGGGGATCCGATGGTCCCCGTATACGCCAACACGCTTGGTATACCAATGTCACCTCCGTCATCAACATCGCTCATATCCCACTCAGAGCAGATTTGTTGTGCGGCGGCAAACAGTTTTTCGGCACTGTATCCAAGTCTTTCCATTATCCACCTCGAAAGTAGCAAATCACCGACTCCCATGGGTAATGGTTGCTCTGTGACCCAGCAGATCACATTTCGTAAAATCAACGGCCCACCCGGAGTGGTAAAGCGCAAGTTTAATTTCACTTTGCTCTTTACTGGTACTGGCTGGTCACCAACTCCAGTCACCGCTGCCTTGCCTTGCAGGTCTTGGTGCGTGATCCACGTCCCTTGCTTCGAAATCACAGTCAGCAGCTTGCTGATGACGACCGAAACCTCCAGCACACTGTCGGGAGTAATGCTGGCCACAGCAACATTCATCACCATACATGGTATCAACGCTGGTGCTCTATCAGCGGCCAAAAGTGTTAAGGGTAGCGAACCCGACGCAGTCACAGATGTCACGGCCATCACTGGTTTCAATACCTTCCGGCATGTCGTTTTGATTCATACAATTCCTTGGCTTCAGCTGGACCCGATACTTCCGGACACTGAAATACCCCATGGGCCAGATATCCACATTTGAAACACTTTTTGTCTTGAGATTTCGTCTTAGCAGCGATATCCGTCTTTCCCTTCTTTTGGTTACTCGATTTCGTCGCCACTTGCGAGTCCTTACCACTTGATGTATCAGTTCCGGTTCGCCACCTTTGATTCTTCTTGGTTGCACCTCCAGATCCAATAACCTGTTCCGTCTTTGCACTAGCTTTACCCTGCGTTGAGCTCGAAATGTGCGCTTCAAACCGCATAAAGTCCTCCATCTCACTACGAACCAATTTAAGAAAAGTATGTATGTTTGACTTGGTGGTCTTGTGGCTCTGTCGTCCAAGCTGGTCCTTCACAGCATTTTTGAAAGCTGGCGGACGAAGTGCCTCTACTAGATACCCCACCACTTACTTTGGTTCGGCTTGAACTATGTCCTCTATGTTGAGTCGATCCACAATTTCGTAAAAGTCCGCCATCAATCGAGACAACCTCGACTCAACATCTTGCAGCTCTGTATCAATACAAAGGTTCTTTACTTCACGACCCAGAGTTTTATAGGCCGTATTATCGGGTAGTCGAGCCGAGAGAAAATAATCGCGCCATTCAGCCTCAGTCACGTTCTTTTCTTCCTTAAAGAGCTCAAAACCGCAAATTCGGACCATTGTTCCCTGCTCAATGCAAGAACTTAAAGGCATCACAAAAACTTTCGCTTCAGTTCCTTGATTCAGTGCCTGCATTCGCCTCATGTAGAAAGCGTAGCTGTCCATAAAATCCCTCTTCTCCTTTTTCGAACTTCCTCGGTTAATCGGATGCACAGGCAGGTTAGTTCCAATTGCCACAGTGACGGCCGGTGCTTCCGGTAAGCGACTATCCTCAGTAGTGGCCGCCCCTTGTGCAAACGCACCCCAACGAGCCTGAATGCGAGGCTGCACCGCCTCCGCCAAATTCTCCAGACGACGGCCTTGACGTCCTACAGCTTCTTCTGCCGCGCGCAGTAGCCGATACTGCTCCTCCAAGAACTGTCTGTGCTCGTCCATTTGACGCTTAATTTCCTCCTGTTGCTCCAGCAGCGCCGACTGCCGGTCATGCTGCGCCTGGAGATACTCGGACGTTTTTGCAGCAAGTCGTTCCAGCTGCTCCTGCACCTGACCAAGCTGCTCCGCGGTCCTGTGTTGCACCGCTGCTGAGTGTTGGGCCAGTGCTTCGACTTGGCGACTCGTCTCTCCACTACCACCGTGGATTACCGCCGTTCTTGTGGTTGTTTCCTCCAGTCGCAAGTCGTGGTCCATAAACGGTGGTAAAGGTGGGTGTATTGCTATGGGCGGACCTTGGGGCCTGCCTGAGTGCGGGATCATCGCCTCGTCGGCTTCTTCCATGCTAAGCGCGACCTCAGCTAAAGAATTCTTTGTTGTGTCGCCTGTAGTTGAAATGTAGAAGTGAGAATTTGATTCTAATGCATGCCTTTTGGAGGCGTCGTTTATTCCGCAACTGCTACGACTGGCTGGAGGGAAATTACTGCTAGTGAAACTACTACTCGATCGCAGAACTACTACTCGATCGCGTGGTGCTGTTGCTGAGCTGCAACCTCATCCACGGCTACGCGCTGTAGCTCCAGCTACAACAATTATCATGCGTGGGAGAGCACATATCGACCTCTTTGTTTGAGTAATTCCGTACCCTTTCTTTTACGTAGAGCTCGACGGTGTACTCAAAAGCGTTTACCGGGGCCGGGAGATACCTGAACAAACGCACTGGAGGTCAGTATCATATTTCACCCCACTCGTCTCAAGTATACATACTTGTTTCGACCACGGTACGCAAGGCGAGTGTGGCCAAAGAGGTCCAGCTTGTCTCTAACCGAGAGTGCATGACGAGTATAAACGATAGCCACACGTCTCAGCCTCCACATCCACCTGCCAATCGTTTCCTGGCATATCGTCTGTCTCCATGCTTGCCCTCTGCGTGAAGGGAGAAGCAGAACGGTAGTGATTCGTTGGTGCTCCTGTCTTGCGGACCATATACGCGCTCCATTTGGTCTGGCACGACGTGGAAAATGTTGGATGTGTTGCGTTGCGGACTTCACCCCGTCATAAACCCGATCGAGTTATTCAATGGCGAGACCACTAGAATGCAGGTAGCATTCTCCGTCACACGCACGCGCTGCAGCATGTCTGGACGCTCCTGAACAGTGGTGGCGAACGGCAAGTGCGCAGAGTTTCCGTACGAATACACAGCAAGGGCTGTTAGATCAGCGTGCCCATCTTGAGACGCAACCACAGCGTGTAGTCTCCTTTGATGGAACCGTTATAGCGATCAACAGCGTTGTTGGTAGCAGCGTATCCACAAGGTGCGTGGTGATCCTGCCAGAGGTTGAATGGGGATGCAAGCCACTGCGAGGTGAAAAATAGCTTACGACTGCCAAGCGCTGAGGAAGCTTCTGCAACTCTTCAAGACAGCTCGTTTTAATCCGTTTATACTCCATTGATGACACATCGTAGTGCACGTCTGCAACATCTCGAGATTCTCGGTCAGCAAGACTGATAGGGATACCTTGTAAATGTTCGTAGCTACGTGAAAGTAGCACATTAGGATGATCAGCTAGTTTCCAGCACCGAGGATTTCATCAACAGCATCATGCTAACCCTTATCCGCGTTGGCCATGACGTAATGGACCGACCGTTGCTTGTTCGTCACGGTAGTATATATATTTATATTAGCGTTAGCACCCCCATGAAATGATTCTGCTCTTGTTGCGACATAAAAAAGGACACTATCACGCGGAAGGAAAGCATGCGGTCCGAGACCCCACTACCATGAGTGGGTACTTGGCTGGGTTTGTACATTGCGTCAATGAGCATGACGTAGGTCGATGGGTCGCTGTCGAACTGCCCGAATAGCTGCTTTGACGTCACACCCACAATGATTGGGTCAGACTCGGATCCTTCTCCAACAATGGGGTCTCCGCTAGCGCCCGAGAGCCAGGTGAAGATGAAGGTCAAAGCGAGCATGGTGAAAGTTTGCTCTTATTAACAATGAAGTCTTTCAGTGAGCCCAAAAGCATGTCGATGTCGTGGGTAGATAGGTCTTTCGCGACTATAGTCCAGATAATCGTAGTAAAGGGTTATTATCACCACTGAATCCAAAAACATCAACATTTTCACAACTGACTGTATGTCAGCGATCAATAGTGCTAGTGATTTAAATACCATGTTTTTTCGGTATATTGGTGTGTTTCAGGGCGTTATTTAACAGGTGTTTCGTTCAATTTCGAGTCCCAACGGCTACTTCATTGGGAGGGGGGGGGGGGGGGGTCAGAGTTTTTTTTGTATAAATCTTATTTGGATAAACTGTTAAATCTGATAAAACATTGCACTCCAATCCAACGTAATTGTTTCAGGGGAAATGTCCAAATTCGTCCGTAAAATTGAAATATTATCGAAACGGATCCGTCCACCCTGAACTTGCAACCGAAACTTGTGTATTACACTGATAATGATACAGTAGCAAGTAGCCCTTTCGTAACGTATAGCTTTCTGGATATCAATACCTCTGTGATAACATGTAGCCTTCACGGAGCCAGTAGCTGTGTCGTAGCCAATGACGTCATTGCTCAGAGCCAGTGTTTGCACCACATGTTTGGGATAGGTGGCTCCTGTGCCCCCGTCCTCACTTTACAAAATCGCAGTCGTCCAGAACATGAAGAAGGGCGACACGTTCGACAGCAAGTAGGAGTTCAAACTAGCGAGCGTTGAAGCAGCGGTGGAGGATAGCCGGGACTGAAGGTAACATGCAAGAGCCAAGCTTGTCGATTCTTCGTCAACGCGCGCATCAATCCAACCGGCCATGTTTGAGTGACATCATGCGACACTTGTCATTCCTGCGTGGGTCGTTGTGTGCCAACTTCAAAGGGTTTCCGTAAACCCGCGTGGACCTGGCGGAAGGCGCTCGACTCTACCTGATTGAGCTCTTGGAGGCGGAGAACGCGAAGCTCACCCTGATCGAAGCTCCTCTACAGCGCCTAGAAGACAGACAAAATCGACCGTCTGTACATGAGGTCGCTGGAGTCGTTATCGTGAAAGAAATCACACAAGAGAGCGAGCGCTCCGATGCAGACGTCGACGCAACCCAAGACCCCAAGCCACCGGCAGCAGAAGAGCCAACACAGGAGGGTCGTGATGAGCAGGACGCGGAAGAGCAAGTTACCCTGGCTCCACCAGTGCGCAGAAAGCGCAAACGTCGTACGCGCAGCTAAGCTATCAACGTGACCTCAATACCATTTGTCGCTTCCTAAAAATGTGTTTTAAAATGTAGGAGCCATATAGGTTATGCTTTTGTACTCCGCATATTTCATAATACCAAACTTTAGCACACAATAGAAGGGTCTTATTCTATGAAAACCAATACCAATAGTTAGATGTATAGCGGTTTCTCGCCTTCTGAGTCCGAAAATGAGGTTAGGTTTAGCTAATTCGCAGTAGTGTTAGCGCGATGGGCTCTCCAAAAAGGATCTCGGAAGTTCTAAATTGCTTGTAGGCTGATCTGGCCACGTTATGTATAATGTAAGAGATATCATTGGTTGATAATGAGATCCGATTGGTTTTCATGAGAAAGACGCAGTACGACTCCAGTGGAGTCGTCAATCGTTGTGTCGCATCGTGATGTGCAAATCCACAGCAACATGAGATTGCGAATGAAAAAAGTAAAAATTTAGTCAAGGTGCATCTAAACCTATCAGGCTTGATGTAGGCATGCTTGTTCTTTTGGACGTGGCGGTAAACCTTCAGCCACTCGACATCGCACTCCTTCAGACCATGAAGTATCTACTTGACAACATCAGCGCCGCATTTTGGAGGCGTCCTTGCGATGCGCCCTTTGACGATTCCCCAAATAAGCTCGATTAGTTGAAGTGTCGGATGGTAAGGTGGAGTAAAGAAGACGAGATAATCGTACTTGGTGGCAATTTCAGTGACTTGATATCTTTTTGGTGGTCGATAAAGCTCGGCCAACTCAATTAGAGTACGAATGGTCGGTTTAGAACTAAAAACCATGCCAGCTACACAAAAATAAGTTTTAAATAAAATAATAGAAGAGAAAACAAACCGTTTTTCACAGCCATTCTTGAATGTCGGCTTTAAGTCACCATGACTTTTGTGGGCTTGGATTAATCTGACGCTTGTGGTACGATGCTCCTTCTAAATAGATGTTGCAACGACAGTGTTTTTGCAGATTCTTGCATAGATCCTCAAACCAGCGCTCAAATTGGACGGCATCGAAATTGCCATGGCAATCGTCACTATATTGCTTTCTCTTTAAAGTGGAATTCCAAACCTTGATGGAATCTTCAATAAAAAAGACCAGTTAGTACTGCTCCTTTGCTTTTAATAATTCCTGCAGCAATAATACACGCACTAACAAAAAAAAACATAAACAACTATTAATAGAATTGATTTTTAGCAAAACAAAATTTACTTACCGAGCTCCTCGTCCAGTCTTGCTGTAGCGAATCTTATCTGCAGTCAACCATGTCTTGCCTGTGACGTGGTTGACGTTGCAGTCAGATTCGTCCAGGTAGACTTCTGCTCTGTCGACTCCAAGGCGGACGCTCCGCTTAGTTCCTCGCATTGGACCACGCACAGCGCTCGATTCGCTATCTTTTTCTCTAAGTAGGTACGTCGGAACGCAACATTACCTGGCGTTTCGGCGTAAATGTGCCGTTGTTCACCTTTTATATGACGGAAGCCCAGTTCATGAAGGACCCGAGTCATAGTGTCCACCTTCAGCTGAGCGTCACACACGTCAGCAACTTCATTACATACATGTTGAGCAGTGATAGGCTGGCCTGCCATATTTTGCTTTACAACGAAGTCGCGAATCGCTGGAGCGATTGCATTAAGGTCAAACATGCTGCTATTCGGAACAGGCTTCAGGAATACAGCACCAAAATATTAGATGTCAGAGGTAATTGATATGTAACTGTTAAATATTAAATGCATAAAGTTCAACCTCAAAGTCGGTCTTCTGACTTGCGTTGTACACTGCAATTACGCGTGTTATCGTGTCCGTTGAACAGACAAGTCACCCAGCAACAAATTCTCTCGTACGCTTTCCGCTAAATATCCCGTGTTCTTTCTGTAGGGCAAAAAAGGTGTAGCTCCTCACCATCATTTTCTTCTCAGCACTAGTGTACTGATGTCGCTCGACTTGCATTTTTGCAAAATGAATGCAAGATAAGGGCAAACGAGAGGTTGCAGTCGATCAAGGAGACTCCGGGCCATCCATTGCTGGTCCTAATGCTTGTATACGATTAGTATTCGCATGCATAATAACATTAAACCTGACCGGTTAAATAACCGGTATCATGAATTATGCGGAGTACAGTATTGCTATTGGTTACTGTACGGCTATAGGTTACAAAATGGCTATAGGATACAAAATGGTTACGCATTGAACAATTTCAGACTTTGTTCAGTTGCATGTTTGAAAAAAAAAAAAAGGATCCGTTTTGATAATATTTCAATTTTACGGACGTATTTTGACATTTCCTTTTTTTTCATCCCGCGTAATTTTACGCACTCAAACAACTATTGGCGCCAACAACCAACCACACCGAGCAGCTCACTTGCTCACTCGCCAATCGCAATGCGCCGCACCCGCTCAAGCGCTTTGGCCGAGGCCTCTGCGCCTCCACAGCGTCTCCGCTCTCTGCGTTCCTCTGCACGTAACCCGCCTCTATCCCCTCCTCCCGTTACATCACTGCGTCGCTCGTCACGTCGCACACCTTCACCAGTTCTAAAGTCCACTGCCAAGTTGAAACGAAAACCTCGTCAGGCTGTTAAAAAGGAGATAGATACAACAATTTCGGACCACGACGAGAGTGACAGTGAAAAAGAAACACAAGATGCAGAACTCACCGAGTACGAGCGCAAACGTCGGGAGAATATCCAACGTAACTTAGCCTTCATGCAGCAAATGGGCGTCTCCACCGCTAAAATTGAGGCTAGGACGCTGGTCGGACACGATGCTGTAAAGCAGGCCAAAGAGCAGCAATTAGTTGTTAAAAGAGCTCTTCAGGCAGCTAAAAAGGCGGAGCGATTGACGCAACCAGTCCGTAAATCGAGACGTCTTGAAGGCAAGAAGGTGGAGGTGGAACCAATTGAGTCTATTGACCAATACGAGATGGACAAGACGCGTGCTCCTCGTCTTCCTAGAGGCAGCAATCTCCATGTAATGGACGCAGTGGATGGAGAGAGTAAGGCGTTCCTCGGAGGCATCACAGCCGATCTAGAAGAGGAACTGGAGGAAGATACCATCTTGGAAGATGACGATGGAGTGGATTACACATTGGCCGATGAGGATATTACTAAGGCTGTACAGGAGCGGATTTATTCTGTTGCCTTCTTGCCCCGTGCCGACAGAGTTGTAGTCGCCTGTGGAGATAAAATGGGTCACATAGCACTATGGACACGTCCAGGTGTGAAGCAGGAGAGTTCGGCGTCGCCACTGGCTGTATACAGACCGCACTATACTCCTGTGAGTCAACTGATCTTCCCAAACTCGTCGAAACTGGTATCGAGCAGTTTTGACGGAACTGTTAGGGAGTTTGACTTGCGTGCTGCTGAGTCGTCGGTCGTGTACGATACAAATGATGATGCCGGTATTTCGTCATTGGTAGCTGCTGCCACGGCGCAGTGTTACTACGCAAGCTGCGACGATGGGACTGTTCGACTCATTGACCGACGAGCGCGAAAAGTACAGAGGTCCAGCTATCAGCTACACGAGAAGAAGATCAACACTGTGAGCCAACATCCGAGCCTCGAGTTGTAAGTAACTATGATATTTGTACTCGTAGAACCCACTCACAAACTTTAAATGTTTATTGTGTTTGTAGCTGCATTGCTACTGCGTCGTTGGACCGCACAGTGTGTCTATGGGATGCTCGTAAAATGTCTTCGAAGAAGAACACACCGCTGGTGACGTTGCCACACCATCGCAGTATTAACTGCGCGTACTTCTCTCCACGAAATGGCGATTGGCTGGTGACGGTGGGCCAGGACTCGTACATCGACATGTTCGACACGTCAAGTCTTACGGAGCGAAAGCCTTCGGTCAAGTCAGCGATCGCTCTACCGAAATCTGTTCGTGTTCCACACAACAATATGACGGGCCGATGGCTCACGAAACTCCACGCAGCTTGGGACCCCAAGAGACCGAACCAGTTTGTGATCGGATGCATGGAACAGCCACGGAGGATTCAGATCTTCCGTGCTGGTCGTCGTCGTCCCGTGCGTGAACTCAAGAGCGACAACTTCGCGTCGGTGCACTCTATCAACGCCTTCCATCCTCATCTGGAGCTCATTGCTGGTGGTAACTCATCTGGTCGACTTGCATTGTGGCGGGGCAAAAAGACAGACAAATATGTCAAAACGGAGACATAAGGTAAAGTTTGTGAGAACTCGCAATATGTATCTTTTCTTGCATCAACAATAAAGAAAGGGAACGTCTACATGTTTATACTTAGCAATGCTCTTTTCGTTTAGGCCCCATACTTATAATCTTCTTTGTCTTTAGACGTTGGCAGTGGTCTGTTCCTTGGCGAGCGATTTTTCATACATTCCTAAAAAAAAATTAGACCAAGGTACTAAAAATAAATATTGTGAAGTTCGTACCTTTTCTCCGAAGCTCCGTGTGTTTCGCCTGAACATTTTCGAAATGAGCGAGTAGTGCATCTGCATCAATACGTGGACTATCCGATACCGATGCGTCGTCACTTCTTGTGCTGTTCGGAGTCTCCCCGCTCTGGCGAAGTCGACTCGAGTCTCCATTCAGGTCCATTCGACCAATTGCCGTGGCCATACTTGTTACGCTTGCTAGACGATCCCGTAGCACACGAAACGCAGCACTTTGAGGCAGCAGCATCAAAAGTCCATACAAACTTTTAACCAGATCAGTGTGATAGTCTTCCTGGATCTCAAGAAGCTGCAGACGCATGTGAATGAAGATTGGCGATTCCAAAAGCTGCACGAGCTTGTCGATCTGCATCAAAAACCCGACGGAGGCGTCGATATCTGCAAATTTGCTGATGAGCGCCGCAGACAGCGAGTACGACTGGGCCAGCAAGCAGAGACTGAAGGCCGCGATGGGATTGTGGCACCAGGAACGGAAGAGTGCAGTGAACACCTCGACATCGTCTTCCGAAGCACGTGACTGGAAGCTGCGGCGCAAAATGTCACGGAGATGTTCCAACTCATTAGCTGTCAGTAGAATGAGGTTCAGTGTCTGGACCATCACAGCTGCAAACTCACTGTCTGCTTGGCTATCCAGATAAACCGCTTCTGTGCCCAGCACCTTGGCGAAGATGAGGTAAATGCTCTTGGAATCTAAGAGCACACAGAGCTTCCGTACGATCATACTGCCGCGCATCTCGAGTAAGCGCCGGTCTTGTGCGAACAGCAATAGGATAGCATTCAGCACCTTTTCGAACTCGACTTTGTTGAGCGAAATGCGAGCCAGAACCTCCAAATCCAGCAGCACCACGCTGTCTGAGATATCTGACAGAGTACGCAGCAAAGCTGGTAACAACTGACCGATGTGAGCTGACAGCTGGTTCGGATATTTTTCAAGCAGCATCGAGATCCAACGCAAGGCAGCCATACGGGTAGGTACGTGGTCGCTACTGAGTTCAGTGGTGAGTTTCTGCATCAACGGCAGCAGTTCCACGTCTTCTGTCGTGGATTTTACTAACTGCAACAAGTCATCGTTCGCCCGTTCAGCCACTTGCCGAATTTCATGCTCAGCATCGGAGATACAGTGCATGATAGCAGCTAGTAAGTCAGCATAGAACTCCACGAGCTTCTCACGTCCCAAGTTCACGAACTCCTGCACCCAGCTCACAGCTGTGAGGCGGTTGAATCTCTCCTTGCTGTTACATTGGCCCACCAGGATGTCCACCATGCGTCCAAACTCGACGTCTTCTGTCTGCTTGATCTCCCTCAAAAACTCCGCTAGTGCACTATCCGCAGCCTGTCGAATCTCCCTGTTCCCGTCACTCAACATATTGAACAGTCCGTCCAGAAATTCTGGCAACCAGTCGAGCATATCAATGTCCGGGACTGAATCCAATACCGTGATCCAGCCCACCAAAAGCTGTCGGATGTATGGGTTGGTCATCCTGATGTATTTGTGAAGCAGTGGGATGAACATGTCCACGTCGAAGTATTCGCTCTCCGTCACAATGTCTTTCACCAGTCGATCCAGTAAATTCGCTCCGTTCTTCACATCCACGTCCACATCTGCGAACAATTTGCAGAGACCGTCAAAGATCTGGTTAAAGTACTGCAAGATATGGCCTCTCGCCACTTTGGCGATGTTGTACAGACTCTCGCATGCATAGTAGCGTACACGACTCTCCGGGTCGTCAAAACAGTGCAGCACTGGGGGTAGTAGTTTGTCCAGATACAGATGGGCGTCGTGCATAAGCCCAATGGCAGTGGCTGCCAGTCCAATAAGGCCGCCTTTACGGTGGTTGGCATTGGAGGAACATGCAAAGTCGTTGCCTAATAGCTCGATAATGGCCGGTATACGCTGACGACTGGGGTTGCTTACTGCGTATTGCGGGTTAGAGACCCCGTCGACGCTCTCGCTCTCCGTACCGGAGGTGGAGGCGTTGAATCGGGAGCTGGGTGAGTCCTGATTGAGTTGTAACTGGTGTTGCTGATGGAACTCGATAGATGCGGCGTTCTCTTGCAGCTGTTTGATGAGGTTCTCGAGCTCCATGGCCGCACCTTTACGTTTGTCGTACGAGCGGTCACCCAAATTGCGCATGAGATTCGGAGACAGAGGAAGCTGCTGCACAGGGAAACCGTTGGCGTCGGGAGCATCACCGCCACCCAAGCCAAAGGGCATTGCAGCGGCAGCAGCGGCGGCGGCCTGCGTTAGCGCAGACTGCGGCAGCATGGGCGAAGGATCCGTCGGGTAGCTGCTCATGATTCTTTTTGTTATGGGCCGTTTGCAAAATGGCTTCAGAAAATAGCCAATGGAATGCGGGGAAATGAGTTTGCTTAATCGATTCATGATTTTTCCTTAAAAAATAAACTTTTACGTTATTTATTTAAAATAATCAAATTAAGAACCACAACTATTTTAGCCCAAACAGGATTTAATTGCGTGAGCGTAACGTAAATGGATCAACGTTCGGACAACATCCAAAATATCGTACTTAGTATGTGATTAGGCTGGAAAAAGCAAAAAATTAGCAGCATCATGCAGTAGTGCTGTAGCAGCACGTCCTGTTAACGCAGGTGATGGGCTGCGCAGTAGTTGATACTGGAAAATGTGGAAAGTCCCTTCCGGACCAAGACTAATTCTCTTTATGAACACAAGCAACATGTATACGACAGAGCTTAAGCCAGCGTACAACGATCCCAATTACTTAATACAGCCTCATTCGACGTAAGTTACTGGGATATTTATTAACTAGCTTGCTCTATTGCTCACATTATTCTTTCTGTTTGGAAGCCTACCTACTGCGGTTGCCGATAAGGAAGAAGATGTGAACTACATGCTTGGATACAGAGCTGCACTTAAGAAGAAGAGAAGGCCTTCTTCTTCTCTCGAATCTGACGTGGTCTACGAAGAAAAGGAAGACATTGATTACTTGACGTACCAGCGCTCAAATAATGCTGATCGCACGAAAAGTTATAGAGCTAATCAAAAGAAGAAAACAAATGTGACGGAAACTGACAACGAAAAAAAGGAGAATGGTTCTCGGTGGGAAGAACAGCGCAGCCAGTATGCTTCCTATATACGTGAGTATCGAGTTGCGCAAAAAGAGCATTGTAAGTGTTTAGTCTTTTCCAAACCGGAGAAAAATATTAATTTGTTGATGTTATCCAGTGCAAATGTAATGCGCGGACCCAGAGTGCTGCGTCAGCGGCAGCTGGGTTCCAGTGTTGTATCTGTTTGGCTCGGGTCGTGGCTCACGGCGCCTCCAGTACCCGGCCTGCGCCTCCGCGCCACACGTCGCAGCTTCCTGCTGCTTCTGTATATCTGCATGTTCACCTACATTCCAGTCCAGCTCTGTGATCACAGAGAGCTCACCGCAGCCCCCAAGGAGCTCCTGTGACTCTCCTTGGTGCTATCAGACTCTGCATGTCTAGGATCTGCTCGATCAATTCATTCTGCAATTTGCACTCTGAGTCTCTGGTCTCCGTTCCTACAGTGCGCCTGTTCCAGCAAAGCATGCGGGATGAAGAAACTGATCGCTTGCAAACTTTGGCAAATGCAATACTGAACAAGCGGTATATTTCAGCGGAAGGCATTTGTTTTATGTCTAAGGGGCAGAAATTTACTAGTGATCCAAGGTTGGCTTTGATATACTACTACTGCTTTGGAGGACACCCGGAGGCGTTTGTCTTTCATGACGAACATCTCCGTGAAGACGAGTCGGTAAAGGAACGACTTTTGAATGCGTTGGATTCGCCTATTGGTGTGGAAGAGTTGAACGATGTCAGCAGCGGTCAACCCAACGCAAAGCTGTATTGTCGCGTGCGCCTCCTGCTGTGAATTTCTCGTCGGCGCTGACTGTACTCACGTCTGCTAACCATTGTTGCGTCTACCAGATACATTTCGAGTATCTGAAGATGAGTTTGCAACCCGGTATGACCACTTATCGGAGGATATTATCAGGAAACACGCTCAAATTTTATTGGAGCCTGATGGATCGAAGTATTATCTTGATCCAGACCTTGTCAAAGACAAAGATCGGATTCAACTATGCTCGAAGTGTGCGTTTAACCCGCGAGAGTCCAAATTCAGCTTGGCTAATGGACATGAGTACGGGCGTTATGGATCTCTATCGGAGTTGAGTGCAGTTGCAAAAAAACTGCATTTCCCCCGTGCGTAGTTTTGGATTGGAACTTTCTCTATCTGGAAAACATTGCACTGGGCATTCCATTTGCTTCATGTCGACTAGACCTCAAGCATGTGCCAAAATACTTCCAGTTACCGATGTTGAGCGCAGACCTCGAGTTACATTTATTGGACCATCCGAAACTTGGAGAGCACGAAAGCAGATATTTCGACGACTATATGAACTACCCAGTGTTAGCATTTTCTCGTGGCTACCTGTTTTGAAAGAAACCCATTCTTTCTTTCGGAAAGAAGGCATTGGAATTAATACTTTGGAAATTCGAGCAGAAGAGCTGACAATACTGGAAGAAAACATTGAAAACAATGTCGTAGTAAGTGATGCGGCAGATTCGCATGCTGTAGATGACGCGGTTACTTCCGAACGGTATGGGCCCGATGCTAATTGTGCTACGAGGAATTTCACGGATACGGTTATTCAACAATATGCAGTTCTACAGCCACCAACTACACGTGTACCATTCACCATCATTAACGTCATGATGGATGCTGTTGGAATAAAGGATGATATTGCAGTTGTACGAAGAAGTGCTGATCCGATAGTTGAATGGGACGAGAATGGCACTATGGTTGCTGGTGCATTTCCCACATTATTTATGATGGGTGGGGAAATGCTTCCTTCTGGGTCATTTCCGAGCGACTTGACACGCCATTTGATGTCCTACTACGATGGACGTTTTGAAAGGAGCGTGACATTTATCGGAACACTTTTTAATCAGCTACAGCGCCATTCAGCAGTGCGAAAAGCTGCTCGGGCAGTAACAACCCACGTGAAGACGCTAAGGAAGCTGGGTGATTTGGCAAATTCATTGGAGTTTAAACAATCACTTGTTGCAGCAAAGAATGATCCAGATTCACCTGCAGCAAAACGCTTAAATGCTGGATTGTTACGGATACTTTCGATTGTTGGAGGCACTGTACCCTTTTCACCCTTTGAACGTGCTGCAACACGTCCAAAGCTTTCAGCGATGCGCATTCGCTTTGGACTCCCACAGTTTTGGGTCACAGTTGCCCCACCCGAGCAAGACGTTATGACGTTACTGCGAATTGCTCTTCTCAGAAAGCTTAAGGGATGGAATAACGAAACTGCAACTTTGGACAGAAGGAGCTTTAATGGGCAGATCTTCCTGAATACCTTAGAGGTAACCCACGTGCTCGACTTTCTATCTCGAACACCTGTGCAGCGCTAGCAGCGCTTGCTTTCGAAAGAAAGCTGAGTCTGATTCAAAAAGTGATACTTCGATGTCCAGCTTCACAAGACACAAGAATAAGTCGAAATTACTATGAACGGGAAGCTGGTGCGTATGGAAAAGTTTCAGCATTCAATGGGGTTGTAGAACCTCAAATTGATGGGCGCTTACATTTGCACAGGACCGTGTACGGGTCGTCCTTCTCGCCGGAAATTTTAACTCGTGGAGCATCTTGTGAAGATTGGAGAGAGTATATTGCGAACTGGATGGATGCAGTACGTTTGAACCACTTATCCGCTAATTCAATAGCCTGGCCGGAAAGTACACAACGTAATACATGCCCGAATGCGTTGTCTCGTGCTTGCGAAGTCGTATTGCCGGATGGTCGGCAAAGTCTTCCAAATTTTCAAGCTGTTGTCGAAAATCAATTATATCCACGAATACACACAACCACTCCAAGATATGCATCAAACGAAAACGAGGAAAATCACAATACCGGCTTTGTCGTCCTGCTGGAATCCACGACCAAAGAACGCAACCACTGCATATAAGCAAGGTGAATGGTGTATGTTCTTCACTGAGCAACCGTCATACTACTGGTGGAGCTCGATCATACAAGATCGATGGAAAAATACTTTTTATCACCCAGGTGGAATCTTAGAAGTATCGTGGCATTCATTTTGTGGACTACTCGCCTGTTGAATTTGCCTGTATTGTGGATATTGTACCTCGGAAGGTCCCGAAGACCGGTAAATCTCAGCGAGGTCGCAAGATCCGTGAAGGCTTCGATTTGGATCCAGGCCATCCACATTTTAAGCATTACGAAGCCGTTATCCGAGTCAAAATGCTAACACCGATGTTTGGAGGGCCCCGCCCCCATCCTGCTCTCGTAAAAGCTACGACAGCAAAAATATGGATAAATTGGCCAGGTATATACTATCTGTATTTGTTCCCTGGAATTTCAACCAGAAACCTGAATTCAAACTGGATAAACCGGGCTTAGCCGCTTTGTGTACACACTGGGATTGCTCCACCGCGGCTTTTGTCTCAAGACAAAGGTATCGTCAAGTGCACAATCTTTGACAAAAGTGTATCCGGAGCAATGAAAATGAAACGTTATGCTTAGACTGGAGAGCTCGAAATGCGACCAGGTGGAAAGACAGCCATAGTGGTGATAGTACTTGCCAGAACAGTAGCGCGCAAAGTGACCGTGGAAATTGTGATCTAGAAGCCGATGGAGCGCTATCTGGTGGAGAAGACGACTTGTATTGGTTGACAAGAGCTGGTGCGCTAGGCAATCCTTCATGTCGTACTAGTGTTGAAGCAATGCACTCAAATTTTTGGTCCGTTATGGGAGTCGATGACGACAAGATGCAAGTCGGGGTGATGAACAAGGTAGTACATTCGCCGAAGCTACAATACAGTGTATACCAGCATAATTGCAGTGACATAAGCGGAATGCCAGATACAAAACCTTGTCTCCAAGCCATGGCTCATCGTATTCGGAAAATGCTTTTGAATAGTCGAGATTGTGGTGTGCGCCCCGATACATTGCCAAGATCTGAAGTAAGAGCAATTCGTAACTCCTTTGAAAGCCACACACCTAGCTCTGTAAACGGTGTTGTCGCATCAACGGAGCAACAAGCCATTATAGATTGGATACTATCAAATTTGGACAAACCCAATCCAGCCCAAACACTTACATTGATGCACGGAGGAGCCGGTACGGGAAAATCTTTTGTGATTCACAAGTTACGCGACGAATTGCTCAATCGTGGATTAAAACTGATTGTTACCTGCCCAACCGCAGCTGTTGCTAGCCAATTCCCAGGCAGACAAACCTGCCATTCTGCTTTTAAAATTGGACGAGATGGTGACCATCTTTCACCCTCCAAACTAGCCGAACTGCGGCGCACTTTTGACAATACTGTTGGTCTCATCGTCATAGATGAAGTATCCAGGTTAGGGAGTGAGTTTGCTGTCAACATTGACAAACGATTGCGAGTGGTTTACGATTCTGACATGCCGTTTGGAGGTAAATCGATTCTGTGGGTATGTACATTGGTGTTACTTCAAATCTGAAATGCATTTTACTGAGTGTGTACGTACTGTTGAATGTAACAGGCAGGCGATTTTCTCCAGCTAGAGGCACTTATGGGAACACCACTGTGCCGTGCGTTGTACAAGCTGAACCAGAACGTAGTCCTTATCCAAGCACGGGATCTCATGAGACGCTTTCACGTTTTCTTTCTCAATTCCCAGCAAAGAGTCCATGATTGTCCACAACAGTAGAAAATCCTGGACGGTTTTCGGACTTTACCACTTACCTATCCTGATGGCTCCACTTCTAGCGGATGTCAACAACTGAGTGATGAAGTGATTGATGCTGTGACAACTGAGCTCACTGCAACCGAAGTTGTGGAAGATCCGGCATGGTTGGATGAAGCGACCGCCTTAGTAACAAGCAATATTGATAAGGCTGCACTGACTGCTTGTGCGGCTAAGTTGTTGGTTAGCCGTGCAGACACCGTCGTATTTCGTTGGAAGAGGCCGGTACCAAACTTTCCAAAAGTGCTGCTAGACTTACTGTATGATTTTAAAGATTATCCGAACTTGTTCGGCTATTTTGTTCGAGATGGACCAGCTCAAATTCTGGACAATGGCAATGGAAATGTAGAATGGGGGGGGGTTGCAAATGGAACGATGTGCAAACTGGAATCACTTGCCTGGTCAAATGACGAACAAACGGATCACATACTTAATTACTTGGAAAACCTTTCGGCTCAATCGGGAGGCGTGATTGATCTTCCAAATGCCCCAGACTTTATTAATGTCACGTTAACTAGGCCAAATGGAGAGGTGATTCCCGCTACATCGTGGCCACCAGAAAATAATTTGGAGACAAACTGGGAACTCAATTCTTCAGGCCGGCAATTGCACAAGAAAAGCATCATCATACCCATTAGACTAGTGGCGAATAAACAGTTGAGTACGGCATTAAGTTGGCGCGTGCACTCTTACCGAAACCAATCGAGGTGAAGTACTCCCAACTCGCAGTTGAACTCGCACTGGTAATGACCGTGTGGAAAGCACAAGGAGCTACGCTTCGAAGAGTTCTGCTCTTTCTAGAAGGAACCCCTGGAGCTCCTAAATGGCTGTATGATCATCTATACGTTGGCAATTCACGAGTAAGATTAGCTCGTCATCTACGATGCCTTCCTCTCTCAGCAGCATTCAAGAAAAGCGTTTTAAAACAGTTGCAGCCCAATGCAGACGTCACCAAGTGGCGAATCGACGTAGGATATGACGGCTACTGGAACCCCAGCAACCATAACAAGTAAACGAGAACTTTAATTTATTATAGTGGCTCAAACCGCATTTCTTTTACACTCGAATGGTAAAACCGTTGGGTAAGGGCTGATCCCACCGCTTTTCAGAAGTTCAACACGTATTTCCCATGAATTTTCTTAAGAACTCTCAACGCTGCCGTTAGAATGTTGGCACATCTTCTCAAATAAAAACGCTCACTCACAATTCAATTTGCTCTCAAAGGACCAAGCTGAAAGAGACAACGGGAATGGATTAACAAAACCGAAACAGATTGTGTCCACATCTTATGACATTTGGCAAAATTCCATCCCGTTTCGACATGATCTCCTCAATTTTGTCGATCTCTACCGTGAGTATTCTCCCACGCCCTGGCATCTTTTGACTTAAAGGCTCACTTTTAGTTTTACAATGTCGCTGCCACTACCAGCAATTCTCACCTGCCGCCTTGCCATCAAGAACGGCGATCCTCTGACTTCGTGCCGAAACAAGACCGAGCCCATCGACTTCTCCTTTCAGATTGACCGTAGCTTTAGGCTATTCAAGGCTCAAGTAGCAACCGAATTCATCCGTCGTCTGCCAAACGATTGGCAGGATGACTTCAGCGTCTATCTCAAGCCCACCAAGCACGCTCCACAACGTGAATTTCTCGAGTTGGACGAGGAAAATTTCTCCAGCCGCGTCGCCAGATCTTGGGAATTAGCTCGCCTTCGCCTACACGGTCAGTCTGATTTTGTTTTAATGAGTTTTGTTTACGTTCCAAGAGCACCAGAACCAAGAGCCAACACTATTCGTAGAGCAACCAAAAATCAAATCCAAGAGCAAGTTCCTCGTGTAGCAGCTGTGCTAGCTGAGCGCAATATTTCGAGTGGGCCAGCCTCACAGCTGTACATGGCAACAATCCAAGCTCGACTTCCAGCTGATGCTCCACTACAAGTTCCTGATAACACAACATTTCGACAACTTCGGAACATTGATCAGCTTTCGCAGGAAATGGAGACAAATCAAAATACAACTCAAGCAACCGCTGACATGAATTTCAGAATGCTCAGGATCAAAATTCAAGGTACAGTGATCCAAGTGCAAGTTCATGTTGGGGATCTCCAGGAAATTCTCGGTTTACCGGCCTACAGCCTTCGTCCTCCGTTCCGTGACCCGGTAGATTTTGAGACTCCCGCTCCTGCAGAAGACATGGATGATGTCAATCACCTTAACGATCATCTCTAAGGAGGGTAGTAGAGGTAGAGAACGATGCTTTCAGTACGAATACCTGAATTTCATTAAAACTCACTGATTTTTATACTGAGTTTGTTCCCATCGTACCCACAATGGTCGTACAAATTTTGCCCACCTTTCTCAGACTGTCCAGTGCAAAAATACAGCGCGACATTGAGGACCGCAAGAGGATTTTCACGGAACGCCATATTTGCGTGGCGTTGGATTCATCGTTTTAGAAGAGAAAATCCGACTTCTATAGGATTCAAGTCAGGTGAATACGGCGGCAGAAAAAATAATAGTGCACCAGTACCGTGAATAAGTTCTTGAAATTCTTCGTACATGTGAATTTTGGCGTTGCCCAAAATGCCAATTGATCTTGGTAAAGGCCACGGATTGAGGAATGGTAGAATTTTCAACTTGAAAGTCTCGTGGAACGTCTGCCGGGTGAAAGTATCCTCGGTTGTACCCCACGCAAAAAATACTTCAACGTCGAACGCAGCAAGAACTGAGATTCGCTTTCCGCGGATAAATGGAATGGACACAACCGCTGGTTCTCCGCGTGCGGGCCACGCGTGTTTTCTCAGGGAGGACCTAAACCATAGCAATACCATACAACAAATTAACAAGGTAAGATGTTACAGTCAGAAAATTGATATTGTACAATACCTTCCATCCTTTGAAGTTTCATCAACAAACACGATTTGATCTATCCCGCTGTAGAAAGGCAATAGCATGTTCACATACTCTTGGCGTTCTTTTGGGATACTTTCACGAGCTCTTTTGTCAGCACTTTCGCGTTAACCCCAAATCGAACCGTAAAGCACGACAAATTGTCGAATCGGAACAGCAATATTGGGTTGAAAACTTCTCTTTTAATACCTCACGCAGCTCTTGGAAGTAGAAGCAGGGGTGTTGCT